AAGAATTGGTATGAAATTTAAAAACAAACCCAGTCACCTCATAGGGGTGGAGGGAGGACTGGTGATGGGACATGAAAGCCCCATCAGCCTTTCTCCTGTTCTGTGTGATAACAGAGAATGAAACTTCAAACGGGTGGGTTAGAATTACAGTGAAATAAATGGCTTTTAGTTGATGATTAAGAAGCACTTTTTTGACAGTTCAGCGTAAAGAGGAATTGTTTTTCTTGAGCCATTGGGAATACTTTGCTCATATTCATTCATTTATTGCTTTGCTCCCTCATTCCAGTGTTTTGATTGTAAGGCTTCCTAGGGTGTGGGGTGGGAGAGAGGGGAGAGGGAAGGTGTGTGGTGGAAAGAAGTGATTCCAAAACCCATCAGATCTGGGCTTTTTTTCTCAGGCCTGTCACTTAGTAGCTGAACCTGAGCTAGACTAATTTAAGCCTGATTTCCTAATTTGTGATAATACACTTAATAATAGTTACTAATTCTATAGTCCTTAGTGCTGGTGGTGCGGTGGTTAGTGCTGGTGGTGCGGTGGTTAGAGCGTTCAACTGCTAACTGAAAGGTTGGAGGTTCAAAACCACCAGCTGCGCCATGGGAGAAATATGTGGCAGTCTGCTTCCATAGATTTACAGCCTTGGAAACCCTATGGGGTCGCTATTAGTTGGAATCGACTCGACGTCAGTGGGTTTTGTGTTAGGTTTTAGCGCTATATAGCCTTGTGCTAAACTCTTTACGTGGATTATCTCGTTTAATCCTCACACCCACTCCTTGGACATAGGTACTGTTATCATCACCATCCCCATTTTATGAGAGGAAATCAGAGGGGTTAAATAACTTGTCCAAGTACATTCAGCTAATAAGGGGTGGAGTTTGGGATTCAAGCCCAAGCTTTTAACTCCATTACATTATGCTGCCTGTGTAAAAGTGGGCTGTCCTCCTGCATGGAGCCTGACAAGTAATAGCAGCTCAGTGCGTGTTCAATTTTATTTTGCCTTTTTGTTGGGTATCACCTTTTTATATAATCTGGGATGCCAAAACATTATTCAGGATATTACTTGGTGTACATGAAGTCAGAGAGAGATAAAAAGGTAGATAATTTGACATGGTATTTCAGGCAAACCAAAGTGAAGACTTTTCTGTTGATTGGATTGTATTTACCTGTCACATTTGTTGTCTCATTTTCCTGGAGTGCGGTAGATAAACCAGTCAAATCTGTTTTCAGTCTTCCTTTCCTAGCATCCGTGTAGATAAAACACTCCTGCTCACATAGCTTTTCAGTTTATTAGTTTTCAGCTTCCTTGATTATAACTGTCTACCATTCCTGCCTCATTTTGATTTGCTTTGTATGCTCCCCAATATCAGCTTCTCAGAATGGGAGGTTTAATGGATAACTCATCCATTACATTTTTTTTTCCTTGTGGAAAATTTCCATTGTGAAAAACTTTATATGTTTAACAATTAACTAAAAAACCTCATTGCTATCAAATCGATTCCGACTCACAGTGACCCTGTAGGATAGGGTAGAACTGCTCCATAGGGTTTCCAAGGCTGTAATCTTTACAGAAGCAGACTGCCACATCTTTCTCCCTCAGAGCAGCTGTTGAATTCTAACGACTGACCTTTCAGTTAGCAGACCAGTGCTTAACCACTGTAACACCATGGCTTCTTAAGGATTGTCTACGACCTGTTTTTTGCCTTTTTTTTTAAAATTGTACTTTAGATGAAGGTTTACAGAGCACATTAGTTTCTAATTAAGCAGTTAATATACATTTTGTTTTGTGACATTGGTTGCCAACCCCAAGACATGTCAACACTCTCTCCTTCTCGACCTTGGGTTCCCCATTACCAGCTTTCCTGTCCTCTCCTGCCTTCTCATCCTTGCCCCTGGGCTAATGTGCCCATTTAGTCTCATTTTGTTTTATGGGCCTATCTAATCTTTGGCTAAAGAGTGAACCTCAGGAGTGAGTTCAGGACTGAGTTAAAAGGGTGTCCAGGGACCATACTCTCAGTTTCTCCAGTATCTGTCAGACCAGTAAATCTGGTCTTTTTTTTGTGGGTTAGAATTTTGTTCTACCTTCACGTGAAGGTTTACAGAACAAATAGTTTCTCATGAAACGGTAGTACACATATTGTTTTATGACATTGGTTAACAACCCCACGACATGTCAACCCTCTCCCTTCTCGACCTT